CGGCGACGACGACGAGCTGCTTTCTGGCCGAACGGACACGACCACGATCACGATCACGATCACGATCACGATCACGATCACGTCCACGACCACGATGACGAAGACAATGACGACGACATTGACGACATCGACAAGGATGAGCACAAGGACAACGTATACGGATACGATGGTGAGGACGATGACGACATGGATGAGAAGATGAAAGATGAAGACAGCGGCGATAACGACGTGTCGACGTACGGCGCGAGTTTAGCAAGCAACATAAGGAGGTGGTGACGATGGCGAGAAGGTGGATGAAGCGGCACGATGACAAGACTGTACGACACTCTTCCTGAACTCAACGAACATGTGTTAACACTAACGATGACGATGACGATGATGATAATAATAATGACGGCGACGACGATGACGACAACGACATTGATAATGGTGAAGATGATGAAGATGTTGATGAAGATAAAGATGATGATGATGATGAAGATGATGATAAAGATGATGATAAAGATGATGATGATGATGATAATGATGACGATAATGATAATGATGATGAGAATCGGATGGTGATTGAATGATTTTCGTATGGTTTTTTTGATGAATGTGACGGATGATCGTTACCAAAATCACCGTTCATCTCGAGATGGGCCTGGATGATCCCATGTGCCCTGAATCTAGCGCTACGAGGTGCCTTGCCCGTTCGCTCGCTCGCTCGCCCGTCCGCTCGCTCACTCGCGCTCTCTTTCTCTCTCTCTCTCTCTCTCTCTCTCTCTCTCTCTCTCTCTCTCTCTCTCTCTAGAACGGCCTCGTGCAGATCGGTTTCTCGGCTATAGAGAGAGCACTCTCGAGGCACTTTGAATTTGGAGGATTCGTTGTACGCGCGAAGTACCTCGTGTATGCGTTTTCGCGAATTTCGTTCGTTGCCTTGATAATCGACAATGGGCTGACTAGAGCGGAGAGCTCGAACCGATCACTCGCCAGCTCGCTCGCTCGCACGCACGCACGCACGCACGCACGCACGCACGCACGCACGCACGCACGCACGCACACGCTCGCGTGTGCGCGACGAAATACGCGACGCAGCAACACGACACGGCTGGCGAGACAGGCGGCGGCGAGATTCGACACGTTCCTCACGCGAATTCGCGACGCCGCGCAACGCGCGCGTGACGATCCGCCCTGTACGTATCACGGCCCACCGCACCGAGCGGATCAACGCGCGGCCGTTACGAACGACGATATTTCCTTACCGAGGTGGAAGAATCGAACTCAACACAGTCTCTCGAGCAAACTACAAAATGGCGGAAAGGCACATGCCGTGGCGCGCGATGCATTCTGGGGCCCGGTGGATGGTGGTGCGCCGCGCGGCCCCGCCACCGCGCCGTCACATGTCTCGTGCCGACGCTAGAGGGCGCGATGGCGCAAAACTCCCAACCCCGCCATTTTCAAATCCTCGTTCGTGTTTCTTCGAAACGTCCTACTTTCAACATTAAACCTAAGGCCTATTCTACAATGTGCTCTTTGTTTCCTGTTTCTTGTTTTTTACCTTTTGCTTTTCTTCCCTTTGCAACCGTTTTTATCAACAATTATATTTTTTACTACGTATTTCTTGTTTCTTTCGAAATTCGTTAACTTTGTTATGGTTGTTCTACAATGTGCTCTTTGTTTCCTGTTTCTTGCTTTTTATCTTTTGCTTTTTTCCACTTGTGATCGTTTTATCAACAATTATATTTCTTGTATATTTCTTATATGTGTTTTCTGTTTCTTCTGAAGTTCGTTAATGTTTTTATCTCGAGCAATAGAAAACAATCGAAAAAAATCGGATAAGAAGCAAAAAGACAAGATGTAAAAAATAACAAAAGGCAAGAAACAGGATACAAAAAGCACATTGTAAAACAGACTTAAACACAAGGAATAACCTAGCAAAATACAATCTATCAAAAATCGTGTCTACAGTATATATACGGGTTCTGATAGGTTGAAATCCATTAGAGGCTACGTACAAAGAAATAGATAACAGGATTCAAGAATTTCAACCTATCAGAAACTGTATATTCCACAGTATATGATTTCTGATAGGTTGAAATTCTTATTTTCTGTTTCCTAGTCCTTTGTGCGCAGCTTTTTATTCTGTTTCTATTGTTTGTATCTTTCAATTTTGTAAAGCCTTAGCGAAACAGAGAAGAATTCCCTGACTTTTTTCAATTTTTGAGAAAGGTCCCTGATTCAAGCCAAGAAAAGCTTTAAATAGAAACAAAGATAAAATTATTAATTACAATAAAAAGTGAACAGAAAACAATATAAAATAAAATTTTTGTATTTCTTAAAATAATAATTGAAAAATTTCTGTACTTTATTATTAGGAGAACATTTGCCTATAATTCATCTATTTATTTAATATTTTTAAACCTATCAGATATAATCTTGTATTTCTTCATTCTTAATATTTTTATTTCATCAAGTAATCTTTTTTTCTCAAGTTTATGTTTTTTATCCATATTTAATCTTTTCTGGAGATTAGCAATCATATAACTTTATCCCCAAGATGGAAACGTGAAAATTTTTTCAATATTGGATTTTGAAAAATACAGTAACACTAAAAGTATTTACCTTTATTGTGATATTTTCTTCAAAACATCTAAAAAAAAAAAAGAGAAAATTGATCGAAACTATAACGCTTAAATTTGATACTTAAATTTTTGAATAGAAAAAAAACACAAAGTGCTAAAAATGTTTTAGCATCTCTTGTTAGCGTCTCTTCGAGAAGACTAAAAAAGAAAAGTTTCTATCAAGACGATGATGCTTGATAAAATTCGATATATTTGAATTTTTGAATTTTAAATAAAAAGTATGTACTAAAGATTTGTAATCTGTTTTGTCATATTCTTCTCTTTTGAAGAATTTAAAAAAGAAAATCTATCGAACCACTTGAAAATTCAATTGAATTTTTAAGTAAAAAAGGAAGGAAAGCTGATCAAGAGGTTTATCTTATCATATTTTTTTCAAGAAATTTCATAACAAATTAATTGATCGAGACGATAACACTTAATCAAAAAATGTTCGAATTTTCGAAACGAAAAAAAAATGAGAAACACTAAAAATATTTATCTTATCCTATCTTGTTCATTTCTTTGTTCTCCTCCCGTTCGATATTATTTTTTTATGATTACTCTGTAAATTTAGCGCAAATGAAAATATAAACGTTATTCTAATCTTTGAACCGAGAAAAAACGAGTGTAGGGAAAAATGTTATCTCCATTATCTCTTGAAAAGAAATCCCATCTCGAGTTTCTAAAATGGCAAGAAAAGAATTTCAATTTTTCTATATTTTCTCCATGTTTCTTTTTTTTTAATGTAAAATAAAATTTCTTTTAATTCAATCTATTTTCACTAAAAGCGCAAGTAGGCTCTTTTTTCTATGAACAGATACATACTAAACATGGTTTTTCTTAACAATTTCAACCATTTCAACTCTTCGCTATCTTTCTGGCATTTTACGTAGATCGCGAAACTTATAATGTATGTATTCTTTGAATGGCAGAATACTTGGACAGAAACAAGAAATACTTTTTGTATGTAATCTCTCTCACTAGCATTTTATATATTTATCATGTCTATCCTTAATACTAAGAAACAGATTCTACGAAATAGCGATTGTATTAAGTATAGCATAAACGTAATCGATAAACAATGATAGCTTATCTAATGATTTTTTTTTATAAACCACATCGTGTGTTTAATTCGTACACTCGCTATCACATGGCGATAGATATCAATTTCTATATATATATGAATTCCACCACTTTTATTTCTTTTTATTTTCTTTTCTATTTTATCGTTTTCCTCATACTTTATCACATGATATACGAACATTATAAAGAAGTGTTATACAATAAAGTAGGAACACATCCATATACATAGAATAAGCAAGAAAATTAATATATTCCTAAAATATCTAATTTTTTCATACAGTTGAATTTAATAGCAATATCGATTTTTATAGAGTTGGAACAGTGAAAAGGAAAAGGGACAAGATGGTCATATTATATTTCATTCATGTACGCATTATTTATTTATCTAGAACAGCCACATTTTATTAACTCTCATTATTATTATTATTTCAAAACAATTCGTCATTTAATTACTGCCTTAAAAGGGGATGGAAAGCAAGAGCGAAGATATGATACGGGGCGAAGGAGGGGTGTCCTTTACGCGAAAGGAAGAATCAAAATTGGCCCTATAAATATTCAACAAATCATCACAAAAGGACACAAGAGCGGAAAGCACTCTTTCTCTCTTTCTCTTTCTCTCTTTCTCTCTCAATTTTCAATTACAAACGTAAAAAAAAAAAATAAAAAAAAGAAGAAAAAGAAAAATCTTATATTGTTCCTACGTAGGATCGCAGAGAAGAATGTGATGAACGTGAGGAGAGGAAGAGAGCCCGAGTCAATCAACCTACAGTTTTACTGCCTTCTCGAAACACGTCTATCGCGCCCAGATACATACTACCTAATGCAAGAACGAACATCCATCCGGTGCTAATTACCGCTCGTTCATCTATGCTTCTCCTCCTCCCGTTTCTCTTCCACGATGTTTATCAAAATCAGATGTGTACTATCCACTGCTGCAAGATAGGGGAATCCCTACCTTAACAGTCGCTATCACCTAACATAAGGCTTACAGTGTGACGTATTGCTTTTTATCTCAAGAAAAGATTCTGATTAGAATAGATATATTGCCTATAGGTATACGCTGGTTATATGCCTATATATCTTCCCTTTCTTTCGCTATATCTCTTCCTCCTTTCTTTTATTCGCCTTTTCTCTATTGTTTATTTCCTTCTCTATTTCGTTTTCTTACTTCCTCTTTTTATTGAAATATATATGCGCGCGTGTTGTGT